ATGTACATCCGTACACTGATACCGCACCTTAACATCTATGTACATCCGTACACTGATACCGCACCTTAACGTCTATGTACATCCGTACACTGATACCGCACCTTAACGTCTATGTACATCCGTACACTGATACCGCACCTTAACGTCTATGTACATCCGTACACTGACACCGCACCTTAATGTCTGTGGCAGTGTTACTATCATCTTAATTTTTTTTTTAATTTAGTTTTTATTTTTATATTATTTTCCATTTTCATTCAGATTAGTTTTACTTTCAGTGAGGTCTAGTTTTTTTTTCTAGTTTTTATTTACAATATATATTTTTTTGCATGTGTGTTCAATTTGTAACTTCAGTTGCAATTCATTCCACATATATGCTCAGTTTTTATTCATCTTCAAGATGACCATCTGCCCAAAGATGGAGTTATTCTGGATGATTGCTGTCCACAAACAAATGATTGTCATGAAGGTACAATAACGCACTCACTCCTAGTCAAAATGTTCCCATGCAGCACTTGTCCATCTTCTGTCAGTAACCATCTAGTTACTGTAGCAATCTAGGACTTAGCTACCCAGGGCTTAGCTACTTAGGACTCAGCCACCTTGGACTTAGCTACCTCGGACTCAGCTACCGAGGAGTTAGCTAGCTACCACAAAATGTCAAAATGCTGTTGGCTATTTCTATGGCTAAAGTAGATTCTTACGAAAGAGTCCCAAAGCATGGCGCCATCTGAAGGCTATATACTGGATTAAGTTTCCTCTAACGACTTCCGTCATTATAAGACCAGCAACAATGAATTTGATGCTTTTTTGTATTTGTTAGCTTGTTTATTTGAAGCAATATTTATAGTTTTAGCTTAGATGTAGTTTTTTTATTTGATCCATCCATCCATCCATCCATCCTTCCTTAATTCCATTTTCTGCTGCTTATATTGGATTGGGTCACAGGGGCAGCAGTCTTAGTATTTTTATTTCATTTTCATATCTTATTTCACTTTACAGAAACATTTTCTTATAGTTTTAATTAACGATAATAAGCCTAGTCTCAAGACAACCATGCACAGATACAGTATAACACCTTAATGTCGAAGTGCATTCATAGACTGATACGGCACCTTAATGTCTCTGTGCATTTTCCCAGTCTCATGCAGGTAATGAAGGCCCTGGAGAGACAAAGTAACACAGTCAGCAGGCGTATTCAGGCACAGCATCACCAGCTAGCAGGCTGTGCTACAGGAGCAGCCTCAGCTGTGATGATTCAGCACAGGCCAGGGTCTCGTACTGCAGAGCATTGAGCACCCTGGTATATTCACACCTGGAGCGTTTCCCTGCAGACGTAGGCAATCTGCTTCTCCTTCAGCGGCCCAGTCACTGCGGGAACATTGCCAGTGGTCAGTCGCATTACTCAGTCATTCAGCAACCAATTCAGACCAAAAAAAACTCCCACTTAACCAGTGGAAAACAGCCCAATCTCATACATAACTAGTTCAGGCTCATGTCCCTACTCAGATTCCTAATGTTAAATTTCCGAGTAAAATCCAAGAAATCCCTATCCACACATTGCCATAGAGGACACCTCAGTGCTTTAACACTCTGTCCCACTCTTAATAGATCATTTCTATACTTTAATAAGACAAAAAAGAGCAAACACTCTGCATTGCTGGCTTTTTAATATGATAAATATGTATTTGCAATTTAAAATGTACAGGGATGGATTTGGCTTTAAAACTAGCAGGGCTCAGGACCCTGTGGGAGTTAGACAACCCCGAGCTTATGAAGATAAATATATAGGAAATGACATCACCACAACAGTACTGTGCTAGTGCCCAAAACTGGATCACTTTCTTTGCTATACAAGAACGAATGTGCATCTGAAAGCGTTTACAATCACTGGGTCAGACTTACCTTGGTAAATGTCCTGCAGTGACCCCCCTCCACAGTACTCCATACATATCCAGAGTTTTGTGTTCCTGGAAAAGGACACACATCCACAGGGCATTACTGCTCAGGACGGCTATACTCCAGGGAAGCTGTGCAGTTTCTAATCTTACCAAGGCCTGCTATTAATAAAGTGACACCAAAAGGAGTTTTTTCATTTTTAAAATATGTCCACTTCCCAGTATGGCCCCAAACAAACACCATTAATCGGAGGTGACCTCATATAATTTAAGAAACAATAATGATAATCCTAATCAGCCCTCATCTGTGCTGCATACAGGTTAGTGTTTGTTTGGGAAGGGATTTTTCTGTGGCGATCTACTGTAAGACTTGATTCTTTTGCACCATTTGCACCACAGCAATGTCCCCTTATCTCTCACTTTCTCTGGAGTACTGACATCTGTACCTGATTCTCCTCATTGACTAATGTAACTCATCCAGCAGTTTCCACAGTGTGAAGAATTGTTGACCTTTGTCTGATTATCAAGAACCTCAGACCCCTGCTTTTCCCTGTGTGTTTGATTCACCCTGAGTATGTTTCTGCAGGTATCCTGCCAGGTGTGTGCGTGTCGCCTCAGTGTAGGTGTGTGTACCAATTCTCCCACACCTGCACATGTGCCTTTCCCTTCACCCCCCATTCAGACCCCCTCGCCTCGACCTTGGCTCCTATTCCCAAAAACAACTCGCCTCACTTTTCATTTTCCTGTTTGCTCCACGTTGTTCCCAGAGGTATCTCAGTACATCTGCTCTCCTCTTATGAGAGAAACCAAGCATTTTTGGAATGTTCTGTAACTGCCCCTGTAAGCTAATATGGACACTGAATACACAAGCCACTCTAACCTTTCTGAGGTGCTGGTTCAGCGCCATGCCTATAAATAGCAGGGCTGCTTCGCACTTGTGCCAACATCACTGACATCACTGTCACTTGGCTCAGAGCATCCCCCAGCTGGGCTGTTAACCCTCCAAAACTCACAACAGTTTGGCCCCTAGTGCAGTTCAATCAAATTTACTTACTGGATGACCTTGACCTGTTTTACTCCATAAGCTTTTAAATGAAATGACATTTTAAAGGAAAAACACTGCTTCTGTAAATTCATAAGAATGCCGTCCAAGCTGACTTGGTATTATAGACACATATCCTTCTGAAAGGGGTAACTGTATCACAGTTTTCCAACTGTAGCACCAGATGGACCGAGACATCGCCGGGATACTCAATCCCTGCCGATGCTACAATATATTTTTAAGAGAATTAAATTTACTTTGATAAATATCTCTTGTGGGAGGGGTTAATCTGTACTATATACCATGTATATATTTCTGGTTTTGGTTTAATACATATTTGGCTGTTCTGTCCTGTAATTCGTGCTATGAGAATGGATTGTGAGATGTGTTCAGCAAACCGTGTGCATTTTCTCCTGAACAGACAATAACTGAACTTTCCCACTTTAAACAATGAACTGACAGATAAAGGCAAATGTGCATTTTTTTGCATAATTATAAGTAGAGTGGTACCTCAGAACTCAAACTTAATCTGTTTAGAAGTAGGGCTTGAATCCTGAAAAGTTTGAGTCCTGATCAAATTTTCCCCATAAGAAATAATGGAAAACCAATTAATTGGTTCCCAGCCCCCAAAAAAATATGTTTTTTTTAGCATTTAAACACAAAATGAACAAGATAAAACAAGAGTATATATTAAACACGTCTAAGCACATTTATCAAAACAGTATTTGTAAAGTAAGAAAATAAATGTATCCAGACAATGTGTAAAGTTAAAAAAAAAAAAAACAATGATACCTTTTTCATAAACCCAGACACAGCACTACTACCTTGAGGCATAATAAGGGTTTGTAGTTCGTGTAGGAACAAAAGCAAAACATTTTTAAAAATGAGAAAAAAAATTGAGAGAGAGTGTATGCCATGCGGTCCATTGTTTATTGTTAATATTACTTCGTTAATTTGTTCGTAAATCGCAAACTTTTAGGTTGTAACATTTGTAAAACTATTGCATAACTTTTTGATATGCAATGGCTACCAAAATTATATAAAGTACAATGTATTACATGATATTTTCAATAAAAAAAGCACTATCACAAACAAACGATGCTATCACAGCGAATGCGAGGCTGAGACTGAAGCGTTACCCTTTGTTTCTGCTGAGAGACATGTTGCGTGACTCATTTCCTCGCGCGTACAAGTTATCTTAGGTCGGCATTCATGGTTCGACTTCTGAGATTCAGATCGAATTCGAGGTAATTTTTTTCCGAACTGGTTGGTTCGACTTCAAGTTCTAATGAGTTTGAGATCTGAGGTACCACTGTATATTTCTTTTCCCATGAGATGAAGGAGTTGTACGACTTTCATGATCTAATGGGTGAGTATAGTGTGAATGTATTCCACCTACAGTCACTAACAATGGCAACTGTCTCATAATCAATAATTAATAACTACTGTACTGTGCAAAAGTCTTAGGCTTTCAAAGAAATTAAGGTTATACACTATATTGCCAAAAATATTGTGACACTTGCCTTTAGACACACACATGAACATCCCATTCTTATTACATAGGCTTTAATGGAGTTGGCCCAACCTTTGCAGCTATAACAGTTTCAACTCTACTGGGAAGGCTGTCCACACGGTTTAGGATTATGTTCTCGGGAATTTTTGACAATTCTTCCAGGAAAGCATTTGTGAGGTCAGAGGCTGATGTTGGACAAGAAGGTCTGGCTCACAGTCTCCACTCTAATTCATCACAAAGGTGTTCTATTGCATTTGATATGGTATCCAGGTTTTGATATGGCTAAGCTGTCACACGTTGACAGACATAATGTAATAGTCTTACACCAACATGAAGATTATTCAAACATCATTTTTTTGTGACTGCCTAAGACTTTTTCACAGTACTGTACATCGGCCATATCAACAGTATCTTTGCTTTATTTGAATTTGCTCCTTTTTGTAAAGATATTATATTAAGGTATTAGACCAGGCAATTGACAAGAGGCTTGGATCAGGGCAGCATTTTGGGCTTTTCCAGTTTAAAAAGGAACAGAATAGAAATACAAAAACCATAGTCACCTGTGGTAGCTGCCAAAATAAGCCACAATGTTTTTGTGCTTGCATTCCTTCATCATGGTAATCTCCTGTTGGATGGAGGTGATGTCATCTCCTTTGTGTGTGTGGGGGGGAGGGGTCAGTAAGATTATTTAAAAATAATTATTCAAAGAGCTTCTGAAAACTAGACCAAACAGCCAGAATTTCTGATGAACACATGCACAATAATAATAAATCATTTAAACAAAAAAACAGAATACACCACAAACCCTGACTGCTTACATATTTTGGAAAGCATTATTGGCAGTAAATCATTAATGTATTTCTGCTCATTAAACGACTGGACCTTTCCTCTGGTCCAGCTGAGATCAGCACTTTGAGGACCCTGGGAGAGGGAACTTGGGATGAGATGGAAAGAAACTGCTGAGGAGGCCTAAGTACAGATATACAACCATGGAGGGGGTGGGGGGGACCTCCGAGCGGGTCTTTGACTGACTATAAGATTTAGGCTACGACACAAGAGAGAACATTAAAGTACCTGTACCTACCAGGATCCAGTTTTACTATTTTGATTGCAGACATCTCTGATGTCTTGATGTTCCGAGCCTTAAAAAAATGGGGGGAAGCAGACAGTCACCTGAATGCCTTTGAAGGGTGAACTAAAGCAGAGAGTAGGGCAGCATTTTTCAACCAGGGTGCCTGAACTGGAGCATAAGGCAAGATCATAGACAAATTATTGAAAAGGAAAATTTCAGGAAAAGTACTTGATCCTGAACACACAGGTAAAGAGCAATGTGATGCATGAAAGTGTCTGTGGATGTGCAGCGGTCCCAGAACCACATGTAGACCAAGTATCTGCGGCTGCCCTTCTCTTTGCAAAAACAAAAACAAGTACAAAAGAACTAGTTAATTTCCAAACAAACATACTCATACAATAATATTAAAGGACGAATCTGACCAAGAAATTAATCAACTTGACCAGGACCTCCTGGCAGAAGAGATACTGCATCTCAGTGGGACCTTCCTATTTAAATAGAGGATGAATAGAGGATAAATCTTCACATGTGCCATGCGAGCAAGAACAAGAGTTCTGGGTGTTTCTCAATAGCAAAAATGTGAAGATCATACTTGTTTTCTTAGGAAGACCATAATTACTAACTTGCCTCCCAAGAATTAACTAGGAACACATTGAATCATGGGATTGTTCTTGTTAGTGAGGATGCAACTGATAAGAACATAAGAACTATACAAACGAGAGGAGGCCATTCGGCCAATCGAGCTCGCTTGGGGAGAACTTAACTAATAGCTCAGAGTTGTTAAAATCTTATCTAGTTCTGATTTAAAGGAACCCAAAGATTCAGCTTATTCTAGTTATAATTCTAATATTTATCTTAGTACACTGATTGAATGTACCAGTACACCCCTACTGATCTGAAGTACTAATGCAAGTTCGTCCACTGAACGAACAAACAAATGAACTGCAGACAAGACACTTGTGAACACACAAGTACAATATATTGTTTGTGCATTGAATGAATGCATATATTGCAGACACACACAGTACATTGAATTTCAGTTCACATACTGACTGGAGCACACATTAGAGCACCATCTACTGGAATTAGTATTTTTACATAGCAACATTTATAAACATACATTATAATATGAACAATACAACTTTGGTAGTGTATGTTTTAACTCCAGCATATGCCTATAGTTTATTTTGTCGCTTGATTGTTATATTGTTTATATCAGCTTTTCCCAACCTTAGGGTATTGAAGGTAGACTGTCAAATGTTGCTGTGAACATTTTGTAGGACAGTTAATGAGAGGCTTGATCGTATGCTAAAACAGAAAATGGATCGATGGCTTTCAACAGGACCACTTAACTGAAAAAAAATCAGATGAAAACAATGAAGAGAAAACAGACCTTAAAACAAAAATGAAAGTTTAGGAGAAAACAGAGCAGTGGCACTGGCTCCGAAGCCTTTACCTCAATGTGATGTATGCACTGAGGTTTAGTCTAATGAAGCTCTGAAGATGACCAGATTAGATGGACACCTGAATACGTCTCCAAACCCACTGAATTTTTCAAAGCAAAAATTTCAAGAACTGCTAAGCAAAAAGAGAGCAATTGAGTCAGCCTGTATCAGAATCGGACAATGCTAAAGTGGTCCATGCATCAGATGGGAAAGACCCACATTATAGGTGAGGACCTAATTTTACCTGCTGCCAAAGAGATTGTGGATGTCATGATGGGAGAGAATGATATTTTTAGCTACCTAAAAGCATTGAATCTCTCTCTCCAAGGAAAGGCAGTGACTCTTTTTCAAGTACTGAATAAAATTGAGTCAATAATTAGGATACTTGAAACGTGGGCTAAGCTAATTGAAAAGTAAAACTATGACTTTTTGAAATCTGTCTGATTTTTTGACAAAGGAAAATATAAAGTCACTCACTGGATTTCTATTTCGCTGATAATCTGAAAGTGTTAGCAGCCAACAGTGGAATTGAGAAGCCCTTTGGCAGGCATAGTGATGAGGTACTTGCAGATCTCACAGCCAAAGTGCAAGACAGCCTTGTGGAACTTTCATTTGACAGCGCTTTGAAACTGATGTTAACACGGAAGCATCTTCCAGAGTTCTGGCTTCTTGTTGCTGCAGAGTATCCCAGTGTCTCTGCCAAGGCAGTACACTTTTTTAATGCAGTTTACTACAAGATACCTCTGTGAAACTGGGTACTCTGCACTAGTTGCACTAAAGAAAAAATACAGCTACATGCTAAGCCAAATCTTTGGTTAAGGCTGTCCTCCCTGCATCCTGATACTGCATGACCAGGGGTTAAAGGGGGGTGGAACGATTAATAAATAAGTAAATCTGACTGGCACTTTCATACAAGATACATAATATCTTACTCCAATCCTTGCAGATGATACCATCGAGATACTCAGCATATCAGATAGTAATGTCACCCCACAGCTCACCCCCACACTTAGCACACACTCTGTTCTCATCCCATCCCTTAAGTGGATTCATGTGTGCAGATAAACTTGTGATCACAGTACAGTGGTACCTTGGAACACGAACTTAATTTGTTCCAGAGGGGATGGTCAAGTTGCAATTTGATCGAGTTCCAAGTCGAATTTCCCCACGAGTAGCTGGCTGCAGGAGGGGCCTGAGAGGGCGTGTCCACTGCCAGCACCCACACCACTCTCAAGCCCCAAAATGTCATTCCGTATGGATCGCCGAAAGGGCCAAAACATATTGCTTTTTTCATGTTAACAAACTGAAAATTGACATGTTTACACAAACATTTTGTTCATGTTCACATGTACAATATGTTTTCGTTAACATGTCAGTTTCAAGCTTGTTAACGTGAAAAAAATCTAACGTGTTTTACCGTTTTTGACATAGGAAGTACTGTGTTTCTGTATTATTTACTAGTCAGTTAGTTTAGACTTCAGATTTATTTTTAGTCGGTTAGTTTAGAAAGGTGTTATCATATCGACTCTATGTGAAATAATAAATAAAATGAGTATTCTGCAGATGAACAGAACTGTTATATGAGATCTGTTTATGTGACCTACAGCTACTCACACTCAATCTTTAAGGCAAAGATGTGTTGTTTGTGGTTAGGAGAGCTATTCCACACATTTACAATATGATGTAATAATTCATTTGTAAATTATTAAGCCAGACCTCACACACGATTAAAGAATGACTGGCACAGTAGCAAAGTGTAAACAACGGATACTGTCATACTAAGGATTGGACCCTGTCGTAATGTCGTTATGTCTTCAGGAATGATATATTGGGGCTTGAGAGTGGAACACATGCCCCCCCCTCCCCGACATGCTGTCAGGTTCCACCTGCAGCCAGATGCCTCTCAATTTCCCCCATAGGAAATTATGTAAATGAATTTAATCTGTTCCAGACCCCCAAATGATTGCCTATTTAAACTTATCTACCTACCTACCTAACTAATGATAAAAAGCTTTAACAATCAACGTAAAACCAATACACACATTAAAAGCCCACACACACAAGCAATAAACATGAAAAAGTCACAAAATATCACAATCCTATATTCGGAAGCGAGAGCAGACACACATGCACCACTTTCAAGTCTGGCTATAATTTCAATTTAAAGTTCTACAGTTACTCTCACTACTTTCCTCTTTGGTTTGCTGCTATCACTGCAAACTTTCTTAGGGGCCATGATTACTGTATCACTAAATGTACTGTAGATAAAGCACAAAAAAATTCATAAGGAACACAGCTTTCGCACGTCGAACTCGGTCGAGAGGTACCACGAGACTGAAAGCGATTCATAGGCATGAGCATCCCAGTAGGTCCATTTGCATTTCTTTCAGCCCATCAGAGACGGGTCTCAATTGATACAAGTTTTAGCAAGCTGTTTTGTTTTGTTGTGCTCTGAGTTTTTGGTCGAGTTTCGGCTAGATTTTCATTCAAGGTCCGAATTAGTATAGTTTAACAAGAATGGACCCATAGAATCTCTAGTTTTAGCTAGAGTGACATTAGGTCTCACTCAGAAGTAGAGCTTCACAGGGGTGCAACTGCTGGTGACGACTGTCAGGAATCCCCTACAAGGGCCCTCCTCCCCTGGTCTATCTGGGTTTGCTGTCAGTGGCAGTAGGGAGTGATTTTAGCATGGCTGTCAACTTTGGTCAGATCTTTGGTTTTCAGTGAGGTTTTCAATACAAGACAAGTCTGCACACATATTTACATTTATGTAGCTATTTTACTACTTTGTAAATAGTCTGTAGGGTTTACAGACCTCCCCAACGCTTTGGCGTAGCTAATTATAAGTTTATAATGGAATAATATAGATTTTTCATAAGATTTTTTGCGCGAGTGTGACAGTCTGAAAGCATGAGTATCACACCAGATACGTGAGAGCTGGCAGCCCTGTTTTAGGTCCACTAGTGGTCCCACAGCTAGTATGAGGGTATGTCCACACTGCTACGTTTTCGCCTTTCGTCTACACTACCCCAGAGTTTTCAGCCCCCAAAATCTGAGACTTTTGTAAACACTCTTACGTATACTTCTGAAGAAGTGTAGATTAATGAAAACGAAGACTAAAGGAGATTTTGAGACACCAGTTATGAGACCAGCATGTCTTTGGACTGTGGGAGGAAACCTCACAAACACTGAAGCAGCAAACTTTGTGAAAACCAATACTTGTGTCATTCTCAAAACTTTTGGCCATGACTGTAAAGAGTTAGAGTCACAGAGAGCTCACCTGGTTGTCAGAAAGAAAATCTTGGTCTGGATTTGTCATGGGTGTCCAAGGCTCATTGATGTGCATCAGTAGATAAGGTTAGCCTATTTGGTCTGATCCTACAGGATAGCTACTGTGATAGAAAGTTGTCAGAACACACAGATCATCACAGCTTGCTGCTTATGGGGCTGTGTAGCCGCAGACCGGTCAAAATGTCCATGCTGACCCCTGTTCAATGCTGAAAGCACCTACAAATTTGCAGAACTAGACTACAGAGCAATGGAAGAAGGTGGCCTCGTCTGATGAGTCATCTTGTCTGTTACATCATGTGGATGGGCAGGTGTGTGTGCATCATTTACCTCGAGA